CAACCCTTTTCAACCTCAATAGAAGTGGCGCCTTGGGACGGCGTTAAAATGAGCCACCACGGAAGTGCCCGATTTTCCGAATACCCTGATAGCACCGGAGAGGTGAAACGGCGCTAAACTCAGCCAACACGGAACCGCTTGGCGTTCCGAATAGTAGAGAGGTGGCCTGGCAATTTTCCCCAGCATCCAAGCAGGGTGGCAACCCTCCTCCCCAGGTAGGATTCCGCGATAGTATAGTGGTCAGTATATCCGCCTGTCACGCGGATGACCCGGGTTCGATTCCCGGTCGCGGAGATTTTGAGGGCAAGACGAGCTTTTCTGCTGACTTACTCTCAAAGTCCGCCCGGTTGCCTTGATTTGTGTATCTGCTACACTTTCCCAGTTCATTTTTCTCCTATTTTTACCACTTTCAGAAAAGGACGATATTTGTTCCAGAAAAATCGCTGCGGGTAACTACCTAGTAATGGGGCGTTGAAAAGTGCCCTGATGCAGTTCGTGCACTGGTACGGCACCCCGCTCTCCAGGATTCGAACCTCCCATGGAAAGACTATGTGGCGGCAAGTGCTGGGCCTTAACCACTACGGCAGGACTGGCCTTGTTTTCCCTGCTTTTCAGGATCCTGTTGGATGCTCCACGGTCCGCAAGTGCCTACTCCCCTCATCTCTACCACCTCTGCGCTACTTCCTCCGCCCAGAGCTGCCAACTGTTAGCTATTTTCTGTCTCATGAGAGTGCCGATTGGGCTTCACTAAGTCGCGCCACCAGTTATTTGCTTCTTGCTTCTCCACATCTTGCCCTGACGTTCGCCGCCCACTCCTCTAGACCCCCTCCATTAAAACACTGTGTTGGGCAGTATTGCATCTACTGGGATTCGAATCTTCCGCGACTTGTCCGCAGGGGGAAGGGTGTTGCACCTAAACCACTGAGCCGATTCTGCCGTGCCTGTTTACCTGTCCCGCTGCTCCTTTTCCCCTCCCAAAAATATATCTTTTTCGTTTCGCAGCTTTGCTTTCTACTCTCCTGCGGTTCCGCTCCCTCCCTCCTCGCCTTAGTGGAGTCCTTTCCCGCAGGCTCCGCTTACTTGCGAGCCTGCCCGCTCCCCCTCACCCTTCTTTCTTTCCTTCTTTCTAATTGCTCGGGCGGCAGCCGTCCGAACACTCCAGGGGAGTATAGTGGTTAGTATATCCGCCTGTCACGCGGATGACCCGGGTTCGTTTCCCGGTCGCGGAGCTTTTTTGTGACCGGACGCTGTGGCAAACTCGCCGCGTGCATATCCAAACATAAGTGACAGGATTGGGTTTCGAATCCACGCCCTTTCGGACTGTCGCCTTAAGTCAGCGCCTTAGACCACTCGGCCATCCTGCCTCTGATTCTTTCCTTCTTCCGAATTCCATACAGACATATTACTTCCGCCCACAATGACTGCGAATTCTGATTGTTGTGGCACAAACAACACCGAAGGGATTCGAACCCTCGCGGGCAGAGCCCAGTGGATTTCGAGTCCACCTCCTTAACCACTCGGACACAGTGTCTACACACTTCGCGTGACAAAGATTGTTGTGCTGTGCAGCTAGCTCCAGTTTCCTCACTGTCATGATCCAAGATTTTTCGCCGCTTGTCCAGTCAGATTGCTTCGTTGGTCTAGTTGCTATGACGCCCGCTTCACTTAAGGGTTAATGAATTGCATCCTTCACTACCATTCCTCACTTTTTTCCGAAATCTCTCCTTACAACTTTCTTGTGCGTTATTTTTATGTGATCTCTGACTTTATTTTTTTCTGACTCGTATACTCTGGTACTTTTCGTCCTGATTTTTACTTTACTCCAGAAGATTGAGCATTCATCAACGAAGTTCGTTCGTGAATCAGTGGATTTTGCTCTCATCTTTGCGAAATCGGGCGTGGAGACGCGGCTCGGGGAAACCAGACATGGGCACGCACTTTGCAGCAGTATAATTCGATACTGGGAAAGTACTAGTTGAGCATCTTCTTGCGTTGATACATGTAGATGGACAACTCGGGAGCGCACTTCCCAAAAGGCAGCTGATGAAGAGAGCTGGAAGCGTGTCTGGCGGACGCCGCAGCAACGGCAGAAGCGGTGCTATGTGATACATGGTCTGTCTATGCGTGTAATAGAATTGCAGGGTTATTCCAGATGTGTGCAATTTCTCGACGCCTTTACTTATTACGTAGAAAGTAGTATAAAGTGGTAGCTCCTATGTAATCGTGCTCCGCTGCTGCTTCTGTGCTTGTGCTCGAGACCTCGTGGCGGAGTGTTTCTGGTGGAGTCTACGGCGTGGCAATTTTGACGGAAGTGTCATATGCTAGGAGGTAGAAACAGGCGGGCTTCGTGCCTTGATTGGGGAGAGGAATCGCCTGTCGGATTATTTACGGACTTGATGATCACCAGGCAAGCAATGGACTGGGTGGAACTACTAGGGCGACTAATTGTGGAAGAGTTGTAGGTGCTCAGGGCTTGCGAGAAGAAGGGCAGGGAACTAGCCGGTTCGAGGTAGTGGGGGCGCGTTCTTCATAGATCTCTGATTTGCAGACGCTGCGTGAATTTCTGAGCAGCCAAAAGGAAAGTCTAGCTTTGCCAGTCAGGGCCTTGTCGGCAGGAGGCCGAAAGGCAAGAGGCTGTCGCCTCAAGAGAGACCCAGCAAAGAGCAGGAAAGGCCGGCGAAGTATCAGGAGTGCCCGTTGTTCGGAATGCGCGAGCGAGTGCGCGTAGCTGCTGGCTGGCTGCATACGGGCGATAGGCTCGAAGGGCGCGGCTGTGGGGGATGCAGAAGTCCGGTGGCTCGGCGGAGGAGGTTCGCGGCGTCGTTCGCGGTGGTATTCAAGAGAAAGGCCTTCGGAAAGGATTCAAAGTCCAGGCGCGACGGGAGGGCATTTCTCTGAGAGGCGGTTCATCTGGCGAATCGATTAGATAGCAAGGTAGCCGCGAACACAGAGTCCACAAGGCGCAAGGTTGAGGCAGATGGGCGACGTTGGCCCTTCGCAGTCCATGAAGGGCTTACAGGGGGTGAGCTCAATGAGAGTTCTTCTGCAGAAGCGGGGGGTAGGTGAGACTGCAGGGGGGCATGCGAAGACTTCGCTGCTGCAGATACTATCGGGGCAAAGGCAAAAAGGTGCTGGGGCTCAAGTGTTCGCCGGATGAAGAAAAGATGGGCGCTCATGTTCGCACGCGAGGCCTCGGCTCGTAAGAGCACAGCACACGCAGCAAGAGCACACTAGAGAAATACGCTGTAGCTTGGTAGACGATGGATCTTTAGCATAGTTCACACTAGCTATTTCCTGGCACTGATATGCAGCATGGCTGTGAGCCCGGAGCGTTACCAACCTGCTGCGACTAGTTTTTTCCTTCCTGTAGCAGTAGGGTGTACTTAGCAATCAAGTCGTACAGTATACGACGATGCGCAGCATCTGAGTATCTCTGACACTCGTCCACTTTTCGAAAGGTTCTCTTGTGCATGTTGTCACTGATGTCATGGAGTTCATGCGTTGTGGTAGTAGTTATCGTGATTGCTTTAGTGTTAGGTGCCACGGCTCGCAAGTCTGTCAAATGTTCTACTTCTAGGCACTTTCTCCCATTAAAAATAGAAAGCATGCGCTATCTTGTCTATCAACAACGCGTGACCCACAAGCACTAAGGGCATGGAATGCATCGTAGTATCACCGCTTTCACATCTTAGCTCACTGATCATGATCCTCTATTACTTGTGTCAGGATCGCGATCGGAACGACTGGGGCTAAAGTATCGGAGTCGAGTTTCTAGAGTCACGGACTGCAAGTGAGGACTTCGGACTGCCCATGCACCGACAAGCAAGCAGAAGCATCCAAGATAGTGAGGCTCTGCAGCGTCGTGCACTTGCAGAAAAGACTTCTTCGCTGGAAGGTCTACAAGGCGTCTCATGGTGAGCAGGATCGTGAGTAGCTACGAACGAAGTGATGAAGATGAAGTAAGACTGATTAGTTGGCTGACTCATAGGATGGAACGATGAAGGAAGTGTCGACAAGTACAGGCGGCATCCACTCAATGGAACTGAAGACTCAAGTCGTTATGTACAAGAGAAGTACGAGAGACCAAATGTTTCGGTGCAGGAAGAGGTGGAAAGTGTTCGGACGAAGATCACACGCAGGGCTAGCCTGCATAGGTAGAACGTAGGTCTCATGATAGAGCATGTAGTTGCAAACTCCCTACTTGTTTCGTCTCTTTTGGCTTCCTTTCTTTGGTTGTTGTGGTTTTGACTTGATCATACTTCTTCTCTGAAGGTTTTTAAGAAGTGTGCTTGACTGTCACATCAAAGCAGAACCAGAGCAAAACGGCTTGAATAATATCGATCGTGAGTACAGTAGTCTCCGGAAACTCGTTCGCTTCCTCATACGTGGCCTTCGGGCAATTTCTCTCTATCAAACGGGGTTTTAGAAGGGCTTGAGAGATTCGGCGATCGGCTATCGTCTAACCGTGAGGCTAGCTCACTTCAAAATGCCTGGATCGTTGTCGGCTCGTGGTCATTCTGCTCGTCGTGGGAACATCTGGACCCTCGAGGAAGCTCGGATTTCGTCGTGCAGTCCTGCCTCGATCCAAGGACCCATGAATGGTCCGACCGGTCGCGCATTGCACTGCGTCAACAACAACACTCTCATGAAGATTCTGAAGGTCTCTCTCCAAGGGAGGATCACGGTACTTTCATGCTTCATATCTTGTTTATTCACACCTTCTTTTGAGCTGATGACGAAACGCAATGCAGGAAACTTGCTCATTAGGTCAGATTATGCGTAACCTGAAATGCTTACCAGCAGTACCTAGAGTATACCAACAAGATCGTACATATTCTGAGTCCAATGAAAGCTCTCCGTCGAACTCTCCTCAAGATTTCAACCCTTTCAAAGACGTTTGATTATCTCACTTTCACACTTCAGGACGGAACTCTGAACCTCAAGTGTCCGGGTCGTGCTCGTAAAGCACTCGTGACCGCGGTTGTTAGCGGATATCCAGACGCCACCTCGGTCGAGAATATGCCTCGTAACGGCAACAGCATCTGCGAGATCGTGCATGAAGCTACGGGGCAAATGACTGCGACATACGATCAATCCTGGGAGAAGGTAAAACAGAGGACGAAGTCAAAAAATCTGTCTTGGCTGAAACTCTTGCTGTTTGGGGCATGTATTGAAAACGTTCGACGCAAAGCGTCTGAATCCAAGATGTAAGCATAGCATGACACTCGGTTGATGTTGAATGTGGGAAGTCAGAGCCGATCTGTAAGGCAGGGCTTCCTTGTACAGACATGAATGACACACTTTCACTGATCTCTGTCATCTTCCTCAGGCGCTGGATATCCTGACAAGTCTGGCTGGTTCTTCGGAGTTCTCGGTGTGGAAGCGATGGTATTTTCAGGTGTTGAAGAACACGCCGAATTTCACGAGTCTAAGTGACTCCGATTTCGAAGTCAAATGGGATGACTTTATCGAGCGGAATCCTCTACCGCGAGAACTCCCAACACCAGTGGGAATGGGAACCAGTCCCGACCCACGATACCACAAGCGAACCACTGGAGAAGGAAGTAGGGGTCGTGGATTTGCTAAGACCCGAGGTAACAGCTATCCGTTTTCATCTGTTGTCTCCGATGTTGGAAAGAAAGGAACCTTTGTTGTTTTTCGGATGCTCGAGTGTGGATGTAGATTCTCCAAGAACTGTTGAAGATTCATGAGCAACCATCTCAGTTTCGTCATCCTCTCTGTCATCGTCCGTTCATAATCCCAGGCTCTTCGCGACGCAACACCAGCAGCGTTTTTGCTGCCTTGTCAGGCTCTAGCAATCGCCGCAGAACGGACAGGCGGTCAAGCAGTGTGCTTGTTGTTGCACGTCCTCACCGGCATAGATCTCGCGCAGATCGTGAGGAGGAGGCGCAGGCAATCGAAGACGCCTCGCAGCAGACGAGAGACGAGGACGTGGAGATGGGGAATTCGGAAGAAGGTTCAGATGACATCAGCAACTTTGACGACAGATCTCGGGATGACGACGAACACAGCGGTACTTTCCCCTTGTGTAAGTGCATTCACTCGTGTGTGTCTTGTTTTAATATTCCATATGACGTTCACGATCCTCCTTGCCATTTCCCATCCACTCCTCACATCATTCATTCTCGCAAACCGCAGGCTCTTCGTCGCCGTCGAATCCTGGAGACGACCTCCCGCCACGGAAGCGTCCGAAGATTGACGCTGAGGCACTTCATCGTGCATACCCCAACGCTTCTGCGACAAGCCTGCGCGAGCCTCCGGTGACTTATGCAGGTACTCTGACTTATACAGATTGCAACTATGTGGCATTCTTCACCGTGTAGTCTCTCTGCGTGTGGTTCTCTGTTAGTGCATGACATTGATACACTGTCACACAACTCTCCACGTATTCGATCAAGAAAGACGGTCTCTCGTCATCTCTTCCAACCATATCGCCAGGTCTCCCGCACGGCAAGCGACCAGCGCGCCGCTTGAAGAAGCGGGTCTACAACGAGCGGGATCCGGCCAAGTATACCAAGAAGCGCTCGGAGAAGAGCACTCCTGCTCTACCGAAGAAGCAGCGCAAGGCTGACGCCTTTGTGGACAGGTCATCCAGCAAGCAGACGAAGAAAGAGGATAACACTAGGAAGAAGACGAAGAAGAGCGATCCGAAGACCAAGAAGAGGTCTTCCTACAAGAAGCCTTCGCGTCTGCGTGATGAGCCCATTGTTCATGCGGATTCTCGAAGCGAGAAGCAAGCAGCGAAGCGTGGAGGAGATTCGACGCTCAGCCAGCGCTGGGGCTACAACGACATGAAGGCGTCCAAGTGGAGAAGAACGCCAGCTGGTCCACAGAAGTCGACACCAGTCAAGAAGAAGAACTGGGTCGACGTCGAGGCGATGGTGGGTGGATCGAAAGCCCCATCCACGAAGAAGCGGACGCTTCTGGGAGAGAAACTGACGAAGGAGACGGACGATGTGGTCGAGGACCTCGAACACGGCGTCTTCTCGGAGGAAGAGGTCGAGAGATCACGATCGTCTGTCCGCGCAGCAATCAGCTTCAGCTCTGACGAAACCGATCGCTCCGCGGAGCCGGAAGAAGAGGTCTGCCCCACCGAAGACCAGACTCCGACCGACGATTCGGAATGGCTGCCACCTCCTAAGAAAGACGGCGGAAAGTAGGTGAGCGGATGGGGAGTGTAGGTGGGGGACTTTTTCTGTCCGGCCGTGCACAGCTCCGGTAGAAGATGGGGAAGTAGATGTACGGTGTGGGTTGTGTATCTCAGATTCAGAATGGCTTTTCTATATGCAAGAACATGTAATTTGCTCTCCGTTCTGGATAATGATGGAATTGATGATACACTGGACATCTTCTACCGGAGACAAAATGAACACTGTTTTTTTTGAAGGGTCCTTTGGAGTTGTGGCGTAAGCTCAACACAGTCACACACAGTCACACACAGCTTGCACACAATATGCGCCACTTCTCCATTGGACTCCGCCTGATGTGTCTGAGATGAATGACCTCTCAAGTCCTAAACACGACAAATGTCTCAGATGCGTCAGGCGTTTCGCAGATATGTACAGAAAAAGTGAACCGTTCCACGAGTTAGGAAGATCCGGGAGTACCACTCGTGTTCTTGCCAAAAGCAAGCTCCAGCGCAAACCTGCCCATCACGAATGCAAACGCAAGCACGTTATACCTTATTGAATCGTGTCCCTCGTCATATGTAAAGAAATTGAACCTCATCCAATCCACATCGCGTCACTTACTGCTGTTGGTTCTTAGTCAGCTATCTAAACTTTCGCTCCAATCTTCTTAAACAAGACGACGCTCACAATTATGATGGAGCAAGATCTTGTTGCTGCTCCGGTCTACGGCCCGGAGTTGCCTCCGGCGGACCCCAAGGTCTACTTCCGCGTGTCCCAGCCTTGTGAGACGTCCCTCTGCTTCGAGCTTGTCAAGGTCGGACGAGACACCTACGTCTGCATGGACCTCAACTACTGGATTCTTGGCGTACCTTTGTGCGATTTGATCGATGTCCGTCTGCACTCGTTGAACGGAAGGATCAGGACCTTTCTGGCGCCGGACAGCAACTTGAACGACATGTGGCGTCATCGTGGCAAAACAAACGAGATGATGATCAGTTGCCTTTCGCACACCTACGATTCTTTCGAGAAGATCCTCGTCTTCATCCGCTCCAACCGCAGCGAGAATCTGAAGAACCAGGAGTTCGTCGAGCAGATCAAGACGCTCGGGAAAAAGGTGGCTTCGGACCTGGTCTGCATCTATCCGGGTCTCCTCTTAATGCAGGAGCGCATCACTGCTGCTCGCAAGGAAGCTACGAAGCTGAGAGCCCATGGAGTTGATGTAGACCACATCCGCGATTGCTTTGCCGGCATTCTCCTCGAAATCTTCCACAAGAACAGCGTTGCGGTTCCTCTGAGCACACAGGTGCACTCGAATATCATGGTTCCGAGTCAGGTTATCATCGACTTGGTCTTGGTCGATCGCACGATGCGCTTTTTTGAAGGTACGTATCCCTATGATGCTTTTTCTGAGTTCGTGGAACTTCTCATCTACATGTGATCTAGATGCAGCTTTTGGATTTAGAAGACCATCCTCGCAGAAAATCGTGACAACTATGACGCCATGGATGTCAAACGTCAAGATCTAAAGATTTTGAATCCTCACAAATTTCGAATTGAAGACCATAAAAACAAAATCTCTCACTTTCCCAAAACAAGACGTCTCCTCTTTCGTCTTGCGAGTTTGTCACCTGCAAGCCAAGTCGCTGCTTCTGCACATGAGGCGACTCGTGGCACGAATCTAGGAGTCTTTTTACGTGTTTTGGACCTCTATTCCGACACAGGTCACAAAAGTACTCCAAAACACGTCAGCAAATCTTGCGTGATCGCAAATTTCTGACGCGAAGATGATTCTGAGAGGAGACTTGGGCATTTGGTCTCCGTCTCTTGAGAGCAATCCATCCCTCCTTCGCACATTTCGCAAGAACAAGCTGAGAGTGGTGGACAGAACTAGTCAAAATAGTGGTAAAAATAAGGGTCAAAAAAAACATCCCGCACTTTTCGTTAAGTTGTTATGTAAGAATAAGGGTAAAAATAAGGGTAAAAATAAGGGTAAGCAGAGAAAGCAAATAGATGTCAAAATAAGGGTTAAGTGAGGCACTTCGCGAAATCTACTCTCACAATTTCCACAAAAATCGCCAGGTTTTGATCGAATTGGAACGATGACGCCGGGACAGTATTTGGGGTATGTGTTGGAATATGGTGGATTCGGATTGCTGCGGGAGACGGCTTCCGTTCTCGCAGCTTGCTACGAGCGGATCATTTCTGACACGACTGCTACACTTCGGGAAGGTATCTAAATTTTTGCTTTTATCGCCTTTTTTGGATTTTCGATTCTAGATCTTTCGATTGAAATGTGAGAAATTTGCTCATGAGATCTACATGCTAACTGCTGTGTGCGTGTAATCTCGGAAATTGGGAACGAAGATTGTGCATGTTACTTGGAGACTTCGTTTTAAGACATGTAGGACATGAAGGACATGAAGGACATGATGAGATGCACAACTCAGAGACATGACTTTTTAACTCTTTCACTTTCGTGGTTGGGTCAGCGGAATCAATACAAATCACGCAACTCAAGGTTACACGCGTCTCGCTGTTGGGGATGTGGTGGACGAGCAGATCATGAACGTCATCCAAATTCCGGGAGTTGCGAAGAAGACCTTCGCGCAGAAGATCGAGGTTCTTGCCGGTTACGGAGGCTCAGAGCCACTCCGCAGTCGTGCTCGTAGTACGCTTCTTTGGGGTCACTTCTCGTTCCTCATGTACCACAAGTTGAACCAGTTGACGAAAATTCAGGCTCTCAAAGACACGCCTCTTGGTGTCAGTATGGACGGTGCGTCGATGGGCGGGCGTAAGATCCAACAGGTCCTTCTACGAGACGACCTGTACATTCCCGGAGTTTTTATGACGTTTCCGCTACCTCTTTTCATCATCAAGTCCTACAGCGAGAAGGACATGCAACGGTACTTGACTCACATCGGTGCGGTAATGGTCGCGCGAAACGCGATTGACGACTACTTCCGTACGTGCTTAGTCTCAGCTGCAGTCCGTCAGCGCATCGGCTTTCTGTACTCTGCGATTGAACTTGGTGTGGAGCGTGGAATCAACCTCGGCATCGACAAGGGCTCCGTGGAGCGCAAATTTTGGACATGGATGATGCGAAACGGATACAAGATCAATGTGGTGTTTGACAGTCCTCATGAGGAAAACCGACAATCGATTTACATCGGAGAACGCGTCTTGCCGCGTGATTTCGGACGTTTCTTGAAGATGCGTTCTACTTGTGGTGGCGAGTTTGCTTCTCGAATGGGCCAGTTCTTCAACGAGTTCATGAACCTTCAAGACGATCAGATCCTCGATGTCATCGACGGCGCACGTGGCGAGCTTTTCCTCTCGTTGCCAGGCGCTGAGGGTGAGACGGTCGCTGAGAAGTGCCTTCACCAGGTTCGCAGGATGCGAGGCGAAATCTCTACCTTCAGTTCCACGAAGCGATTTTTGAAGTACGCTTATGCTGCGAGTTTTGTGCTGGATAATTGGGCCCTACTGAAGATAGTAGTCACGGCCTTGCTGCAGAAGTCGCGTCCACACTATTTCAGCCTGCAAGCTACGCCGACGATCGATTTCCGACCCCGTGAGCAATTTGCTCGTATGCAGTTCAAGTCTGGCGATCTAAATCGCATGCGCAACAAGCTCGACAAAATGCACCAGAAGCAGAAGGAGAAACGTACACACACGTCTACTACTAAGATTACTCTCTTCCGCAATTCGCGAAACGATCTCGTTCTGCTTCTGTCATCTTTCCGAGTTTACCGTCGTAACCTCTCTGAATTCAAATACACTGTGAATTTCGACCCCAAAAGCGTGAGCCTTCAGATTTCACCTCCATTCTTAATCTCAGGTGAGCAGCTGCTGAAGGAAAATGTAGTAGAAGGTTATCACGAGGACAGCGAGAACGACGAGGCTGATGAAGCTGACCTGCGCGGCGCGGAAGGTGCAGGTGGCGCAGGATCGGGCACAGCCGCTACTCTTGAACAAGATGTTCCCAAAGGCCAATTTGCGGAGGTGGCTCGTCCTGGTGCTTTTCTTGATGGAAATCTCCGTCGCGTCCGCCAAGCAGCCAAGCAGCCACAGGCTTCCAAGAAGCCAGCGAAAAAAGACAGTGATGACGACATGGATGACGAAAAGGCAGATCACTCTTTGCTCGGTGTTTTGTGCACTATGCTGAACGACCAGTCTGCTCGAATCCGCGTTGAGGTCTACTTCAAAATGGTCAAGCCTCGCCTGTGGTATCACGCTGTAGGAATCTGCCAGGCCTGGAACAACCTCCTTGCCAGGAAATGGTTCTTCAATGAGGGTCCAGGATTGCTGCGGCAAACGGCTGCTGCGTTTCACTCTCAAGTGACGCCTTGGCTGAGTTCGAAGGTGCAAGTGCATGGTGCGGGGCCGCATATTGCTAGTCTCGCGGGCGGTGTGGCTGAAGATGTAAATATTGGATCTTGTGTCTCTAAGCGATGGCGTCGACTGGGGTATGTGGTTCCATTCTTGCTAGGAGATCGAAGAAGAAATCCCTCACCTTGATGCTATGACTCTTCTCTTCTCATCATTGGTCGAACTTGCCGCACTTTTGACGGGTGACATCCTTTCTGACCTTTTGTAGTGTCATCTTCTTTTGCACTGCCCTACAATTCAGGCACTTCGCCAGATTATCGACGTCCATTCAGCTCGCATGTGCCTCTGGCATCGTGTTCGCATGTATGCTGAGTACCAGTGTCCTCACATTTGCCTCAAGAGCCTGGAGATTGCAGCGGAGAACTACAACATGGGGCCGCTTGTCAAATGGATTCTGGGCAATACGTATGATTTTTTGGCGCTGCATGGATATGACGTGAGCAACGGCTTGAACGAGGTCTCATACAACGGTGATATTTTGTCTGATCCGTCGACTGAGATGCCCGGTTTAGTCGGGCCAGGCGGTGTGCACGGTATCGTGGGGCAAGGGTTTACGCACTTCGACCCACGTGGATTGAGGGCGCCAGCGGATTATGAGCGTAATTTGTTCATGCGCATCAAGGAGGTAGCACAAGCAGAGACGGAGCAAGCAAAAAGCGTGATGAAGTTTCTCTTCGGCGAACAGGAGTTCTACATCGTGGCTGAGTTCATGAAGCTGCTGGAAGGCAACAGGTTGCGCGAAGCAAGGAACTTTGCCACGGTTTGGAATAAGTCTATGCCACTCGGTACTCGCGACATTGAAGCCAAGTTCGGGGACCTATCTGTTGCGGCGAAGCGTGCGCACAATGCTGGAGCTGTTGTCGATGTACTATATGTTCTTTCTTGTAAATTATTCCAAGTTATTTGGCCTTCTTCTGACAAAATGACACTCACTCTGGTGCACCTGCAGCCGAAGTTTTGCACTCTTTAAGGTGGAGAGAAGCACTCAAGTTCTTGTATGACATTGATTCTGCAATCTATCAACAACGATACTCATTACCATAGCTCGCTTCTTCCGATAATAGCACTCTCCACTCAACATTACAGCAACTTCCCTTGCACCTGGCTGAGCGCGTCATACCAACCGGATTCGAATTTCTAAAACCTCAGTGGTTGGAGAAGCAGCCTGACCGGACTCGTGAAGTTGGAGCCAGAAACACCTTCTCTCCTCTAGATCAGCGAGAACCTTTGTCATTGGCAGGAGCGGACACGGAAGAAGAGCTCAAGCACATGATGTATGGCGCGGATCGATCTTTCGAGAAGCAGACCGTTGATCTGGTGTCGCTAACGGACTTCGATACATGGTGGGACTTGAAGTCGAAGGACCGCACGCGGGACCCAGTGCAGGAATTTCGTGACTGGGCGAAAGAACGGCCGAGGGTGACGGATACCGAGATCCGATCCGAGATGTCCACGGCAATGCACATCGATGCAGAGCAGCACGGGCTGACGGCTGAGCAGGTGAAGAATATTGCGGAGACGCCGCAGAACGTGGGTGACGCGAAGCACATTCTCAATGCGGAGTTTGTGATCGATGAGCATTTCGAGTTTCTCTTGCGGGACACGCGTGCTGCTCGCGATCGCTGGGAGAAAGGTCGTGTGTTGTGTGTCTTGTTGTACGGAATTCTCAAGAAATGTAAGGACGAAGGCAGGCCATTGCTGCTGGAAGTGGTGAAAGGCCCAGATGTGCACCATTTGCATTCGCTCGAAGTGATTCCAGGTCTGCGCATGGTAACTGGCGTTGTTTGTGACGAAGCTGATGACGAGCGTGATAAGATCATGACGGACGAAACCAAGTCGGATTTGCGCAAAGCTTTGGACCAAATTGCGGATTTGAATAGACAAGACGGGGCTAAGATCCCTGGAGCAGAAGGACCGAGTGAGGCTGACCTACTGAATTCCCATGGTATACTCTTGTGATATCTTCTTGCTTATCTACGAACCAAGACGAGACCAAAGCGTAGGCCAACTTGATAGCACCACTTCTTAGAAACTTTGGAGAGCAGGCACGAACTTGACTCTTTTTCTTTCATTTGCAGGCGTCTTCGCAGGAGCGGAGGCCCAGGAGGAGAAGAGGTATGACCCTGAGCAAGACTTGCTGAACTACGTGCCCTTGCAGTTTCCGACGGAGCGAGAAGCGTGGATGTACCCTATGCCGACATGCGAGAAGGCTACGAAGAGCAAGCTGAAGGGACTAGTTCTACTACCATTTGGGATTCAACACATGAAGAACGACAATTTTGACAGCATTACAATTTTGGAATCAACGAGGTTCGGGTGCATGAGCAGCAAGGTCTTCACCTACATCAAGAAGAGTAGCAACAGTTTGCAAATACTAGAATGTGCCGAAAAGATGGGCTACTTTCTCAGCAAAACCACGTGGACGCCCGGCTACACAACATCGAAGCGCGCGGATGTTGGTGCGATCATCACGTTTTTAGTGCAAGAGTCTCCTATTTTGTTGGAATGCTTACGCGGTGACGATTTTGTTCCGCATGTTGACTGGAATAACACAACCTACGTCCGAGCGCCGAGTGGATGTTTTACTACAGACGCGAATGGCAAGATCATCTCTTACAAGCCGATGGACGACGATTTAGATGGCCTGTTCATGGATGCAGATGCGGGCACTGGATTTGCTGGCGGCCCGGCGCGGGCCGACGAGTTCGACCTCGATTCTGAAGTAGATCTTCCCTCGCGTCTCTTGGAAGAGTTTTTCGCCGAGGGCGAGCACATGGCAGATCCGAAGGACTTGAACAAGGAGAACAAGAAAGAGCGACTTCTTCCAGCGGATGACGAGTTGGATGATGGACATGAAGGCTCTCTGATGGGTAGTTTCTTCATGGGCGGCAAATCCGACAAGAAGACTACAGATGGCAAAGGAAGTTCAACACTTAAGACAGCTACTTCTACTCTCAACACGACCAGCTCGGCCGACATGTCTCCGCGAGCCAAGATTGATCTGAAAACTAACGACGACGACCCAGGATCCCTTACACATCTCCACAAGTGCATGAATTTGGACGACATCACACTCACGCTGAAACAACGAACCGAATTGTTTTACATCTTCTTCAAAGGCATGAAAGAAGGAGAAAAGACACTACTCAAGAACGACTTCTACGGAATTTCGATGGTCAAACCGGGCAAGAAGCGAGAAGCGGTACCGGCGCCGGTCTCGACCATCAGTAAGACAGCAGCAGAATTCGAGGCTGCACTCCGCAAAACGGAAGTGCAGTATGCTTCGTTGGGAGTTGCGCGCGCGCAAAATGATCTAAAGGAACAGAAACAGCAGAAAGCGATGAAGAAAGCACCTACGGCAAAGGCAGCGTTTGACTCTGAGCAGAAACTACTCGGAGCGCCCCAAAAGGAGGAAGGGCTCCACTGCATGGAGGTCGATGGAGATTCAGATGACGTATCGTTTCTTTGTTGGTCTGGCTTTGATTTTGAGCATATTGTGTCTTTGTGTTGATCTTTTTATCACTTCACCTTGCAAGTTTCCTAAAGCTTTCCCCTCTCATTTTCTAAAGACGGCTTTTCATCTTTCTTCTACAACCACAACACAGAGCGACGCTACGACGTTATCTGGGCTAAAGATTGACAATCTGGACGACTTTGTCGGCGATTTAGATGGCGATGGTGAGGGTGCTGACGCTGCGTTGGCTGACGTTGAGATGCAGATTCGCCAGCAGTACTCAACCGAGAAGGGCAAAAAGACTCTGACACAGTCGCGCTTGATGTTCTATCGTGATGACCTAGATCTTGTACGAGAACAGGCGAAAGTGCATGGCAAGCGTTTTGCGCTAAGGTGCATGGATCCGAAATGCAAAGCAGGAAGCAAGGAGGTCGGACACTGCAAGTTTCAATGGGTTCACAACAATGGGCCGACGTTGTTTTACGGTCCGGACGAGGCCTGCAAGATGTCGAAAGCATGTGGACCTATGAGCCATGCAATCAGAAGCACCAAGAAGAACGCGCTTCAATGCTACTGCGGTTTTTGGCGTGCTCGACAATGCTGGGCTACGAAGGACTACAAGACACTGATCAACAAGAAAGCTACCTTCAACTGTGCAGTCTATCAAGCGCGAGACGCTCTGATGAAGTTGCATCCAGATCATCAGGGCTGCAACTGGTCGAAGACGAAGATCTCGTGCTTTTCGAAGGCTCAAACCTTCACAGCTCGTCAGAAGGTGGACCAAGACGGGGAGTTGATTTAGATTTACATACTCGCATTTTGAATTTGAGAAATAGTCCACACACTCAACATTTTTACATGTAACAAAATAGTTGTAGTACAACACTTCCTATCTTCGGGTCTTTTTTGCAAATTATTCATCATGCCTTTCTTGTAGAATGTTCGATCTCCATGTTTTTCCATTCAAGAACTTTATCTTCATATGATTCTGATGTACCATTTGACATACTATTGATCTTGCTCGACACGCTTCTTATCCTCATAAGCTTTCTGAACACATTCATCGAGATCGACACAGAAATCTTGTTTTTGCATATCTTTCCATGAAGTCTTTTTTCTAGTAGTTAGTCAAGTGTCGTACCTTGAAGAAACAACGGGGGGGGAGGGCCTGGGTGTTCATAATCTGTATCGGTATTCGGTGGGGGATTGTATTTACCATTCAGCAAATGCTGGACAGCTATCAGAAATCTTGAAAGTGCAAGCCATATGAGGAGAACGAAAAGAACAGATCATGGCGCGGCTGTGGGAGTCTCGGTTGCATTGCAAAAATCACGCGCAGTTTTGGGAAGTAATGGAATCTGTGGAGAGGGACGGGGATACATCCAGGATTTCTGTATCGGTATTCGGTGGAATTCCGTACCCAGAATTGAAGTCAATTATTCTAGAAATTTGACTTCACAAAATCTGTCTCAAATTTTCGGTCAAAATAATGGTATGGAGGAAAGTGAGGAATGGTCTGAAGAATGTAATGTTTTAACCATTAATTCACACGCGGGAGGTCGGCGGTTCAATCCCGCCACGAAGTACTTTTGTCACAACCGAACGCTTCACTTTCGAACTCGCCTGCGGATCAGAGAGAAACTTGCGCCATCAATAAGTGGACCCGCTGGAATTTTTTGTTGCGCGCACAGCGTGTCAGAGGCAAAACTGCAACAAATGTTCAAAAGTTCCGATGCCGGGACTCGAACCCGGGTCGCCTGGGTGAAAGCCAGGTATCCTAACCAACTAGACTACATCGGACTCTGCCTCCTCCTCAAATTGGTTGCTCTGCACCGTTCGCAGCACGTTCATGACCACCTAAAAAGTGCCGTGCGGTATAAAGAGTGCGTCGTCCGGTAATCGAACCCGGGCTATCTGCTTGGGAGGCAGATATCCTGACCACTAGACCAACGACGCCGTTGTCTCACTGAAATACGCCTGGGCTCAATCGCTGTCGTTGGATCATTTTACATTTAGCGGGCACTGTGGTTGCTGAGGAGCTGCACGGAGACCCTTTGAGGACGCCGCCGAGAACGAATTCCTCGTGTGCCTTGCACAAGTTGCGAGGCTGCCACAATGTGGCGGACTTGTGAAAAAGAACAGACGGGCGTTAACTTACACGAGCAATAGCGCCAATGTAGCTTAGCGGTAGAGCACCCGCTTAGTAAGCGGGAGGTCGTCGGTTCGAACCCGGCCATTGGCTTCGGGTTTTGACAACGCAACTTTTTCGGCATCGCAGGTCGACTGTGAAAATGACAGCTGCGAGATTCTAACTCGCGCCCTTTCGGACTAGCGCCGGAAGCTAGCGCCTTAGACCGGTCGGCCAAGCTGCCCAATGACGCTTGAGGTGGCCTTCTTTCTGATTGCAGATGGGCCCGGCGCTGCGACGCAGCACCAACAAAATCTGACTGCTGTGGGGTTCGAACCCACGCGGATTGCTCCACCAGAACTTGAGTCTGGCGCCTTAGACCGCTCGGCCAAACTGTCGTATTGCAGGTTGCCTGAACTCTTCCACCGGACTCGGCGACAAGGGTCCATGTAGCGACGCAGCTCGAAAACGCGACACCGAAGGGATTCGAACCCTCGCGGGCAGAGCCCAGTGGATTTCTAGTCCACCTCCTTAACCACTCGGACACAGTGCAGTTACTATCCAGTATCATTTTCTCATCCTGGCCCATTGCGTTCTATTGAGAATGTGACTATAGACTCAAAAAAGTTGGGCTTTGCCGGGGATCTTCTGAGATTGTGAGTACAGAGGCAAAAAAGTTGGGCTTTGCCGGGGCTCGAACCCGGGACCTCCCGCACCCGAAGGGGGAATCATACCACTAGACCACAAAGCCTTGTCGATATCGGAATGCGAGAGCAATACCGTCTGGCTCTTCGAAAGTTGGCTTCTACTAGCGCAAGCCACGTGGGATAACTTAGAACCCCACTTCAGTTGCAGATGCTTGCGAAGCAGCATTGGTCTAGTGGTGATGACGTCCGCCTAACACGCGGAAGGTCCCCAGTTCAATCCTGGGATGCTGTATTTCTATTTTTGTTCAACAATAAAGTGTGGAGGAAACATGAAAATGAGGCCAGAGCGATTCGAACGCCCAACCGTCTGATCTGGAGTCAGACGCGCTACCGTTGCGCCATAGCCCCTTGTTACATCCTCTGGTCTAGTGCAGTCCTGTTCACATGGCATCTTCCGACCTTCCGGGAAAGAGGCAGCAAAAAGCTCCCAGGCGAATTTGAACCGCCATCGCTGAATTCAGAGTCCAGAGTGCTAACCGTTACACCATGGGAGCCCCACGAGCCTTGAGGAATCGCTGGACGCTTGCCCTTGAGATATAGAAAGAAAAATTGGGATCACGAAAAAATGGAGAACCTGGGCATCGATCCCAGTGCCTCTCGCATGCTAAGCGAGCGCTCTACCATTTGAGCTAGATCCCCTGTTGCGAGTAGGGAACGTGAGAGGACTGATCCTGGGACACGCCATGCAGTGCGAAGCACTTCAAAAGCACATGTTGGTGGTGAATGGCAATATGTCCCATGCGGGGCTCGAACCCGCGACTTTTGGCTCATAAGACCAACGCGCTAACCACTGAAATAATGGGACGCATGATACTGCAACGCGGCAGGCTGTCCATGTGAGCCGGCAGAACCACATTCACCCTGCAGGCGAAAAGTCCGGACACCCGGAATCGAACCAGGGACCATTCGATGTCTGCATCTTCTACAGTCGAACGCGCTACCAACTGAGCTATGTCCGGTAACACTTCCTATCAGGAATCGCTAAGCCTGTGTGAGCGACTTTGCGAGTGCGAGTCGAGGACGTCAACAAGAAGAATGCCCCCGGTGAGGATCGCACTCACGACCTCAGGATTATGAGACCTGCGCGCTAACCAACTGCGCCACAGAGGCTTGATGAACATCAGGCTTGCTTGTGCTATTGAGATCCAATTTAGGAAGATTCAACAAGAAACAAAAAAGTGACCCCGGCAGGACTCGAACCTGCAATCTCCGGTTCCGTAGACCGATGCCTTATCCAGTGGGCCACGGGGCCTCTGATTCGTTGTGGGAAACCATTCCCAGGCTCCATCTTGCTTGGCAGGAGCTATCAAACATCGTTGCGTCTCTGATCTGATTCTACTTGGACGAGTTGCGCTTGAGCGCCGATGTAGCTTAGTGGTAGAGCATCTGCTTCGTAAGCAGGAGGTCGCGGGTTCGATCCCCGTCGTCGGCTGTCTTTGCTGTCATCCGTCGTTCGTGCCGCGAGGAAAGTTTAAGTTTCTTACAGATGGTGTCAGGGAGATTCGGAGGAAAGTCGGTGCCAATATACTGTCCGGGGAAACAGCAACACAGCTGATTTCGGTGGGCCTTAGAAGCGACAACGAGGTCACGCTGAAGTCGGCCGACATGGATGCAGTCTGTGAGCGATACAACATCGTGCACTCATTCAGCATCCCCTATATGCCGTGGACAAACAGTCACGCTGAACGCGCAGTGCAGAGTCTGAAAAACGCGCTGAGATCTGTGATGCTACATGTGGATCCTCACCTATGGGACTATGGCCTTCGAGCTGTAGTGCATGCATGGAACCTCATGCCAAGACTAGACAAAGAGACTGGCATCGTACGCGCACCGCTAGAGACCCTCATCAGCAAGGTCCAAAACCCGATGAACAGGGTCAACGTCGAGAACAAAAAGAAGTATCTTCGTCGGTTTGGCTGTTTAGCTATATTTCGGCCTGGCAGGACGGAGTTAGCAAAACAGGACGAGAAAAACTCAGTTCTCTCTCCGAGGGCACTAAGAGGCGTTAATCTTGGTTGGAGCGACGAGAACTCCTGCTGGTTGGTGGGTTGTTTTCCCGATCCTACTTCAGAAAGATTTGCTGTCTATCAGTGCAGCAACGTCGTGTTCTTGGAAGAGATACTGGTGGCAAATGTGAAACAGTTGTGCAACAACAGCACTGCGGCCCTAGATGAGCAAATACTAGGGAGGCTGAAGGCATCGATCGCTCCTGCTTCTGCTGAAGCTTCCGCTGGGGTAGTTCCAAGAACTGCCGTAGGGGAGTCGCTGAAGCAAGACCAAGTGGGATCTTTGTCGGTAGGCCGCGCGTCAAACACGATGCTTGAACACATCGATGTTCATCAAGCTCCTGATCCCACCGCGGACAGCGAGCCAAAATCGCACATCGATGCGTCTGGAGCCGAGCTTCCACCTCCAAACCAAGGGGACAGTTCACCGGCATTCCAGTATGGACCTCTTTTCCGCCCTGCCAGCGAGGTGAAGAGAGGTCGACCCATAGGTGCAAAAGATAAGCATCCACGAGTCCGTCGTACGAGTGCGCAGATCCTTGCGCAGCAACAACACCAGTCTAGTTTTTACGAAGCGATGTACAGTCACCTTGAGGAAGAAGACGGTGAGGAACTCATCACAGCTGAAATCTTTCTGGCCAAAGATCATGACGAGTTCAACATACCACCTGGTGGCACTACAACTCCGGGAAAAGCCTTCAAAAACGAGAATCCTTATCGCCCTCGCTGGATTGAGGCAACCAAGATTGAGGCAGCAAGATTAGAAGCTTATCGGTTTTGGCGCAAGTTACTTCCTCCTGAGTACTCCGACTTCTACGCCGGAAAACTAAGGTGCACCCCGACTGCACTCTTGTTGTCGAGAAAGCGCTGCGGGCGCTACAAAGCGAGACTAGTGGTCCTTGGAAACCGTTGGCAGGCTGAAGCCAACTCGGACGTTTCTCTTTACGCAAGCGTAGTCTCACATCTCGGGAACCGCGTAGCACTGATTACCGGCGCAAAAAGAAAATGGTCGATGAAGGCTTTTGACATCGGTAATGCCTTCATCCGTGCAAGCATTCAGCATCATCGAGTGATTGTTTCAATCCCCGAGCAATTCAGGGATGGCGAAGGAGATGTTGGTCGACGTTTTCTCCTAAAAGCATTATACGGCCTTCCGATTTCACCCAAACTTTGGGGTGATCAAATCGCCAAAGACCTTCGTAGCCTGGGTTGGACTGAAGCAGCAGCTGAACCCGGATTGTGGCGTAAAGTCGATGCTAACGGCGAGCTGATCGCAATCTT